GCCACAGGAACACCACTTTTGACATATCATCGTCGTCCGCGCCCAGCATCAGGTCCAGCTGATTCACGTCCTGCACCTGACCCTGCTAATACTGCGGACTTGTCTCCTCTTAATCAACCGATTGCACTTCGGAAAGGTATACGGGCCACCCTTAATCCTAATCCCCATTATGTCGGTTTGAGTTATCATCGTTTGTCATCACCCTATTATGCTTTTCTATCTTCTTTGTCCTCTGTTTCCATCCCTAAGTCTACAGGTGAAGGGATTGTAAATGGATGTCCTTGAGCATATGTAGGAAATTAAACTTGGAAATATAATCTTTTATCTAATTAATGAAATTAATTCTTTGTGACAACCACATTTTCACTCATTTACCAAAACTCCAAAAAACGCATAGTTTTAAAAGTCTTTTTTTTAGTGTACAACCACAAGTTGTCACGACCCAAATTCCATATTAGGCCGTGATGGCGCCCAACATCGTTGTTAGGCAAGCCAACACTAATCAACTAGTAAATCCTTGTTTAAATAATTCGTACGTGATAACTTTTCCTTATTGATAAAGAAATTAGGAGTTTAAATTTATGCATAATTAAGAGAAAATAACAACTACGAACTGAAATCATGCAAGTAACCAAAAATTATAAACTCTACTAATGTAGTGTGCCAAGACCTGGTAGTCACAAGTGTGTGGGCAAGTCTAATAGAATATACAAAATCATACTATCCTACTGTCTGGAAAAGAAATAGATAGGAAANATCTTTTTCTTTTCCTTATTAATTACCACTCCCAAAGAGTGGAAGGATGTAGAACAATAGGAAAAATTAAAATGATAAACTGAACAGATTGGTATCAGAGTATCCATATAAGAATACCAATTAGTTGGGTTGAAGTTTTAGTCATTGTAGGCAGATTTATCTTATACCTGCACTGGTGGGAGGTAGCACATATCCTGTAAAATAGTTGAAGTGCGCACAAGGTGGCTCTAACACCATCGCCGTTAAAAAAAAGTCGTAGTCATTGTTTTAGTGTGCTACTTGTCGTTTTGGTTTTATGACACCCTAATTTCAGTAATTTGTGGCAATTCTTATGCTAACCCTCCAACTAGTTTGCAATTGTGAAAGTTGCATTCGCAGAATTTGCATAAACAATGTCAGTCTAGTGTAAGAAAATTTGGGATTTGGGATCCACTTAATGTGCTACTAAGGTCATTCAGAGGATTATCTCCAGTGGACTGGGTTCATCTATTTTGTTTCTGCATGAGGGTTTTGCTAATATTTCAAGGGATTTAGATCTTTCCCTGGTAAAAAATAACTTGACAACTAAGCCAAAAGCTTGCTTGTCGCAGCGGATTCACTACATCATGATAAATAGACAGTATTTTTGTTTCTTAATTGTAATCTACATGTATAGATAGTACCTAGTAATCTTCAGGGAGTGGTGTTGAATGGCACTGTGGTGCCTCTGCCTCTAATCATGGTGTGGTTTTTGTTATTCATTCCCTTTCTCTCCTATCCTTGTTGATCTTTAAAATACTTTCCAACCTTTTCATTGGAGCCTTGTTGTTGTAGCATTTTGATTATTCTTGGTTCCTTTTGGTTTCTCGGTGTTCTTATCTTAATTCAGGGAACTTTCTTCTTTTATGTGAAGCAAAGAGGAAGAAAATATGTGTATTTGGATATTAGTATTGCATCTCATTGCAATTCTTAGTCGTGTTATGGGACATCTTTTGCATACCACAATTGCTTAAAGTTTGTCATAATGATAAAAAATAACTGAGAATTTGTGTTCTGCAGTTGAGGTGATTAGAATAGAATTATGGTATCTGTTTTTCTTTAGACAGAGTAATGTGCAATACCATGTTACTTCTGTACAACAGTTATGGTCTTAATTTCTTTGGTGCATTTGTACTAGGCAATGAGTCATGATAGCACAGAAATGGTAATCAAGTCCCTTTGTTATATTTCTAGTCGAGTCATGTTAATATAGCTTATATGATATAAAATTTAGAATTCGGGCTTTTTCCTCTTACTAAAGTGTTAAGTATGATATCGTTTTAGTCCTAGATTGATATTACTACCTAGAGTTTCACTGCTTTCTTGGCGTCGGTCTTATTATTATCGTGTTGTTATTCCTACTTGTTGCTATTACTTTTTTCATCCGTTCTCCAGCCGAGGGTCTATCGGAAACAACCTCTCTTCCCTTCTAGGGTAGGGGTAAGGCTGCGTACATCTTACCCTGCCCAGACCCCACTTGTGGGAAATTACTGGCTTTGTTCTTGTAGTTGTTGTTGTTGATGATCTTTTCCAATTTTTTCGTTTTTCCTTCTTGTTGGGCAAATGCAGGTTTTAAGAGATAGTATTGCTGAGATTAGAAGTTCGGAGGAGTTAATGAGAGTAGGTAGAGACCTGGTGGATCTTCATGGACAGATGGTTCTACTGGAGAATTACAGTGCTCTTAACTATATAGGTACTCAGCCATTAATATTTTAGCTAACAGCATTAACAAGTGTCATAAAAATGAAAGCGTGCTGCATAGGAATGAAAATAATATGCTTTAACAATGTATTCTTCTACAGTTTCTTTTTTTTTTTTTTTACTTTATACCGTATTTATGTTGTCATTCATGGTGTAATGTGAACAGTGTTATTTCTGTTTGAGGGCATTGGTAAATTCTTATTAGAAGTATATTCAGTTGCAGTTTAAGCTATGTTGACTTTTCATTCTCTATGTAAATTATGCAGTAAAGGTTCAATGGTATCTAGGGCATAAAAAACTAGAGTCTAAGAAAGCAGAATCTCACTTTTGATGTGGCAAATCGTAAATGAAGCTTTAATTCACGTATTCAACTAATCACGTATAGATTTTTACATATTTTTCCACTTTGGTAATTGTTCTGTTTTCAGGATTAGTGAAGATATTAAAGAAGTATGATAAACGTACTGGTGCTCTTATTCGCTTGCCTGTCATCCAAAAGGTGCTAGAGGAGCCATTTTTTAAAACTGATGTTCTAAATAAGCTAGTGAAGGAGTGTGAGACCATGCTTAGTAGCCTTTTCTCCCAAAATGAACCATCTAAAGCACCAGGAGACGAAGAAAGTGGCGGAGGAGATGCTGGAGGAAGTAGTAGTGGAGTCGAAGATACAAAAGTAGTTGCAGAACCATCTGAAGCACCAGGAGGGGAAGGAAGTAGCAGAGGAGGAAGCAGGGTAGCTGAAGATCCAGAAGAACTTGCAGTTGCGGCCATTGAAAAGCTCTCTAAAGCACCAGGAGGGGAAGGAAGCGACGGAGTCAAAGATACAGAAGAACTTTCCGAGATTGAAAACAAGGGAAACATGTACTTGAAGCTTACAAAATCAGCATTGAGAGTCTTGCAGGAAATCCGAAGTGGAAGTTCAACTGTCAGCATGTTCTCTTTGCCGCCACTGGAAAGGAACTAACTGCATGAGGTCTGGAAGAATATTCCAGTTGTAGAACAAGCAGCAAAATAGTGTTCAATATCATCTGTGATATGCTCTACATATTGTTGTGTTTTAATTTTTTCCAGTTCAGGTGTTGTATATCTGGAAGCAATAAGTTCAGTTGTTTTGACTGCGTGCCTCGAGGCTTAAATAGGGTTTTAATTTCCAGAGTATATTATAGGCTCTAGGACTTCTCAAGTTGATTTTTGTATGTAAAAAAATTTCATCACAATGTGTTACTATATTATTTCTTATTGATATGTCTACCTTTTAACGTGGAGACAGAATTTGCTAGCAAAACCTCGAACTTAAGACGAGCATGCTCAAAAACTGTAGCACGAACAGACCACAAGGGCCAGGGTTTCCTCATTTTTATATCGTGGGAGCAAATTGATTCATTAAGTTGAAATGGAAATTCAGTTTCAAAATTCTAAACATATTGAAGTAACTTCTGCTAATGTGGGAGAACATAAGCTATGAAAACATCAGTAAGGTGCAAAGAGTACTAGAAGATAAAATGAGAGGTTGCTTGAGATGGTCGGTTACCTTCAGAAACACCGTTCAATCGGTGTAAAAAAATCATGGTGACTGAAGGTGTTAAAAGGAGACGAGATAAAGCTAGAATCATATTTTCAAAACTGTGTAATGCTTCATTGCACTGACAAGCGTATCCTTGTCTTAGTGAACTTGGCATTCCAAAAATATATTGCGCATGAGGTTTGCAATATTCCAGCGTCTGCACATTCAAATTCCTCAATATCCCCACTGGTGCCAAATCCAAACATCTTGATTGTATCAATAATCCCTTTGAATGTATCTCTATTATATGTCCTTTTTACGTTAATGCTATTCACACAATCAGATGAACCTACAATTTGATCTCACGTTGGAACAACTTCTGTTTCTACTATTCGTTCATTGTTACACGCAATGGATACGTTCCAAAATCCTTGTCCTTCAGCTCCATATACACTCGGACTCCCATGTCATTGTGGATTATCAGCGGAGGATATCTGGTATTAGTTACTCTGTATTTGATTCTAATAATTTTAACAGACGTGTCTACTGCTAGTTGTTCTGCAATGGCTGAAACGAACGCATCGTAGCTTGATTTGGTGTTGTTTACCACTCCATTGACGGGTGAAATCAACAAGTCACTTGCTACTATCCCATCGAGTGTTGAAGCTTAATAGCCATCGTCTCCGCTCTCCATTAGATATAAGTGTATATGGTAGAAATGGGGGCTACCCGATTTCACTATTTGATCGAAACAAGAACGTTGCATTGAAGAGCTAAGGCATTGAGTTCGAGATCGAGGTCGATATCAATTGAAGTTAGGGAAGATAGACTTCGAGTAACATCGGGGATAGCTAGGTAACGGAAAGAGCGAGATATTCGTGGTTGGTCGAGGATCGTGGCATGAATCTCGGAATGGATCAATCCACGGCGGTTAAGTATATGTTAATATGGTTTCCTACTATAATTAGGAGTGTACCTTATTTAGGACTCCTCTATTATATAAAGGGAGATCCTATTCATTTGTAATCATCATTATTGACTGAAACAAAAGCAATATAGCTCTTCTTTTCTAACCTGTATTCTTGTTCATCAATTTATTCAATCTTTAATGTTCCCGTACTGTTATCACCTCGAGGGTACCTTAATTCAAGGCTGAAGCTCTGTTTGCATACTGGTTTAGGTTATTTACAGTTCAATTCTACCTTTTATTTTTTCTACTTATCAATTAGTATTGGGTGAAATCACATATCCTTAAAACCACAATATAAGTTTAATTGTTATCTAAATTTTAGGGTAAACAGTTTGGCGCCCACCGTAGAGCTAAGGATAATAGTGATTGCCTAGTATTAATCCTCATAATATACATTGCTTTTACGCTTGTTCTCGTAAGTGTCTTTGATTTCAGGAATCAACATGTCAAACTCTCAAGCAGCGCCCAGTCACACAGTAATCGGCCTTGGTCTTCATGGAGGAAACGATAATGTAGCCGCCCCAGGGATAGAAGTGCCTCAGGCAATCCACGAGGGAGTACCAATCGCAGACCCCGTCGATGTCAGTTCACATGTCGCCCTAAATGTAAATCTGGGCGTTGATCCTGAAGGTAGCGTACGCAAGGAAGTTCGATCAGGTGGTCGAGTTATGCAGGGCGGAAAAGACGGTGGAGTTAGCCTCCAATTGATATTTGCAATGCTACAGGCTCAGCAAGACGCTATAGCGCAACTACAGAATCAACATCGAGCACCAAGTGGGATTGAACCAGAGCCTCAACAAGAAACTATTCGCAGGGCCGAACCTATACCGGAGAGATCGAACGCCAATGATTCGGGGACTGACCCTGCTATTATGAAAATGCTCGAGGAGCTCACTAAACGGATTGAATCAGGAGAAAAGAAAATCGAGGTAAATGATAAAAAGGTAGAAACATACAACTTCCAGGTTGACCAAATACCAGCGGCACCACCGATATTGGAAGGACTAGATTCTAAAACGTTCGTGCAAAGACCCTTCCCCCCTAGTGCGGCTCCGAAGCCAATGCCCAAGAAGTTCCATATGACCATAACAGGACGACTGATCTGAATGAACACGTCACCTCGTATATGTGCGCCATCAAAGGAAACGACTTGGAAGATGACGAAATTAAATCCGTACTGCTGAAGAAATTCAGGGAGAATCTATTGAAGGGTGCCTTAATATGGTATCATAACTTACCCCCTAATTCTATTGATTCGTTTGCTATGCTTACAGATTCTTTTGTAAAGGCACACGCCGGAGCCGTTAAAATTGCAATGAGGAAGTCGGACCATTTCAAGGTAAGGCAGAAAGATAACGAGATGCTCAGGGAATTCGTATCTCGGTTCCAAGTGGGGAGAATGGATTTGCCTCCGGTCACTGATGACTGGGCTGTTCAAGATTTCACTCATGGTCTCAACACTCGGAGTTCCATAGCTTCACAGCAGTTGAAGTAAAGTTTAATCGAGTACCCGGCTGTCACTTGGGCCGACGTACATAATCGGTATCAGTCGAAGATTAGGGTCGAGGATGATCAACTGGGGACTCTTTCGGGGTCCGTTTATCCTAGCAGGACCATGGATAGGATCAAAACGGACATCGATTGAGAACCGAGGTCGAATAGAGATCGATATCAACCGTATAATAGAGACCGTAGAGGCAGCGGGTCTGGGCAAAGCTTCACACGAAATGAGAGGAGAAATGATCGAGGTCAAAATTCGCGGGGTCTTGATGCCGAGGAAGATCACGTGAAATATACAAAATCCGAATAAAGGTACGACCCCAGTCCAATCCTTTCTATTTTTTCAACTAACACTTGCAGGCTATCGACAAGGATCGACACAAAGCTTTGGATCTTAAAGCACGCATTGCACTCTTTTTTCCTAAGTCCGATTTTGGTCCCAAATGGGTTTTTCCGGTGAGGTTTTTAACGAGGCAACCATTGTTCGTGCTAACTTAGAGCAATTCAACAGTATCCGAGGTTCCCTACAATAAGTTTCGAGTATTGGAGGGCATTACCCTTGAATGTCTACTTTGTTGAAAGGAAATCACTTCGTGACAGCGGATCTCGATAGGAAAATGTTGTAAGGGTCAAATGGTCAGATGAACCGTGACCGTATAGGTTACTCGAGCCCTAACATCAAACATGCGCGCATGTATAATCATCTATTGACAGAAGTATTTTTCCTTGCCGATATCTCATGCCTTTAGAAAAATTTCCTATTTTATACTCTTGGTCTATTATGGGCTTAAGGGCCGACTATGACGGAAGTTTGAACAACTAACCCCACGCTTGAGGACTGCCGTATGAAAAACAAACGAAATCGAACTATTAAAATTTCGAGACCATAAGACCTTAAAGGCGACCCTCGATTTTACATGCACGGCCACCCCACTCGGGGACTGACACTTCGGGCAAGCTCAAAGTGAAACGAAAAGTAAGCCCAAAGGGCGAGTTCCGAACTAAAGAGGCTACAACCAAATTAACACCGATCGGAGACGTCCAAAATTTGTAACATTTCAAAAGCCCAAGGGCTATCTTAACCCGAGTTCGAGCAAACTCTCACTCGGCGACAATCTATAAAGCCTAAGGGCTAACTTTACTTTGAGTTCGAGCAAATCCTCACTCGACTATAAAGCCTAAGGGCTAACTTCACTTCGAGTTCGAGCAAGTCCTCACTCGATCATATAAGCCCAAGGGCTATCTTAACCCGAGTTCGAGCAAACCCTCACTCGTGAACTATCTATAAAGCCTAAGGGCTAGCTTTACTTCGAGTTCGAGCAAATCCTCACTAGACTATAAAGCCTAAGGGCTAACTTCACTTTTAGTTCAAGCAAGTCCTCACTCGA